TTTTGTCCAACTAATGGGGCTACTTTAACGTGTTTCTTATGTTGGGGTGACTTAGTCCCAACAGTATCACATGACACGTGTGCACAGTTTCCTTTGTGAACACTCCTATGTTCAGTTTGGCAGGATTTTGAGCAATAAAGCACATTTCTGCACAGTGCCTGAGTCTCACCTTATTTCCTCCTGCTTTACAGTTGGTATAGTACTGGGACATCTTTGGTGTGTGGGTCACTGTTGGTCCCGCTGAAGTGACCCCTGCCCGTTTAAAGGACGAGCCTGACGAGTTCCTCTCATTCTGCAACCTGCTAGGAAATGTTCATCACTACCACAAGCATAACAATGTCGACAGTCATCAATGTCCTCTTGCTGGCAGGCGAAACAGCGCCTCCGGCGTCTGGGGACAGGTGCTGCAAAGCGCCGGGGGGTCATGTAGTCATATTGTGGGCTTTGGTAAACATAGGGGCTGGACCATGGCATCTGAGGTGGCACTGCAGGTGGAGTAGTCATAAGTATGGTGATAGGACTCGGGATCTGTTCTGTTTGAAACTGAGACTGGGGTTTTTGCATAAACTCTTTTATTTGTAAGACCTCAGCCTTTAGGTCATTCAACAGTGTGATGTTAGATCGCATTTCCTTCAGTTCAGATAAAATGTCTGGTTGTACTTTGGTGTTGTTCTTTGGGGCAGTTACTTTCCAAGCTTTATCCATGCAGTCCGCTGTTCGTTGCTGACACGTTTCACTCTATGTTGCCAGCCTGGGTTGTTTTGGAGGATGAGGAGCAACTGGGGTTACTTCTGGCATAAGTTAGCCCTCGTCACACTTATCCCAGCGGTGCCTCCAAAATGTTACAACCCCAGTCCCTGAAAAAGGGGAATAACTTGAGCCAAAGAAACAACAGCGGTCGTTCACGTCTCAAGCCAGTGGTTTAATGACTGGAGACAGGACCCAAGCTCCCTCTTGTGTCCACTCGACTGGATGTGCTTTCTCTACCGTATGTGCTTTCCAAAACAAAATTCTTTCGCAATATAAAGTGATGCATCGCAATCATGTAACAAGTCAAAACCACTTTACTCTTAAAAATGAATAATTATCCCCACTGTTATTTTAACCATTAACAGGGTTGTCAAATAAAATGTGTTTCATCGGACTGCTGAAGGAGTCCTGATGCTCAGTTGCGCTGCATTTTATGGACCACCAGATGGCACTCCAGGACTGTGTCATTGACTCAATGTCTGAACAGGTAGATACTAGAATGGCCTGTATAGCTGAACGTATGCTGGACTTATAAAGTGCCAAAAAATGAGATCTCACACCTCATATCTTGGATTAGGCTTGCACATATGACCTGAATGTGTTCTATAAGGTGTGCTGCCAATCTTGGTAGGGGACTGTACTGTGTGCTTTGGCAAGTCAGTTGGTGTGGATTATGCTTGTGGGAGATGTATTTGTGGTGAATGTGGTGCTGGGGGAGCACAGTCCAGTGCTTGTGTAATGGTATTTTGAGAGTCAATGTCCTCAGGGTTGAGCCGTAATGGAGGGTGCTCTGTAACAGTAAGGATGTGACGTCTGTTCCTTCTGTATGTTCTCCTATTGCATTGGATAGTGTAGGACTGAGGCTCCTTGTTCACCTCCTTTACTGTGCCAAGGTGGTCATATCCTTTCTGACAACTTGTCCTTCTGACAGTGGTTGCAGTGGACGACTTGAGGCATCGTAGTGTCGCTTTTGGGTCATCCTCTTATGGAGGAGTTGTGCAGTGACTTGCTGGGCATGTTTAGGAGCTGGTTCTAACAGTTTAGAGTTGACAGGAATGGTAGATTGTGTCTGTCGTGACAACAGACATTGTACAGGGGAACCTAATGTTGGGTCATGAGGAATATTTCTCATATTTAGGAGATTAAGGAATACATCCGTCCCATCTCTGTGAAATTTCTCCAACTGTTTGGCACTCCGGACCGCTCTTTCTGCCAGGCTATTTGACTGCAGGAACTCTGGACTACTGATGACATGGATAAAGTCCCACTGTTTGTCAAAGTCTCTGAATTATTGACTCCTGTACTGTCTGTCTGTCTGTGTACTGTGTATTGTCAGAAATGAGTGTGTGCGGTGCGCCATGCACAGAGAAATGTCTCTTTAATTTCCTGATCACAGCTGAAGATGTCATGTCGTGGAGAAGGTTGATCTCATACCAACCCGAGTATGAGTCCACGAGTACCAAGTAGTTCTTGCCACGCCATTCAAATGTATCTGTTGTGTGAAGTCCCAGACTTCTTTCTCGAGTCCAGATAGTGGAAAGAATTTCAGTCACACACCAATATCAAAGTGCACTATTACCTTTTATTGCAGATATATCTGGAGATCATACAGCAAGCAGCAGGGCAGATGATCTTAGGTGCAGTTACCAAAACTGTGTAATATATACTATTCTTCCCTCCTCCTTACACATTCCTACTCATGCTGATCATACAGCTGAAACCAATTGATGTTAGCCAAAATTCTTTCTCATAATACACAGCTGTACCTCCCTGAAACCAAAGCTACATTCTTGTGATAAATCAGGCACACACACAACGATTTAATAAGCATACTGTGAGATTGTGAAGATTATATTATTAAAACTTATCCTTTTAAGTGCATTTAATTTACTTTCCCTTTGATTACTCCCTTTAAGCAGAGCAGTGCTAGGCACAACTCCCCAGAAGTGCATTTAATAATGAAGTGAATTCATACACACACTTCAACCATGTGAAGGTTATACTTTTATCTTATAATGCAGTGTCTTATTAAAGTAACCATTTCCAAACTATATTAGTGCTTTAGTTATATAGCAACCTAAATGCTTCAGTATTTCACAGTTGCCACAGTAGACCAAGGCAAGTCTGGAACTGGGTATGGTTTTAATGGCTTTCTGTTGGTGTGGCTTTGTGCTATTGCAGATGGAGCACGTTAGGAGTTCTGCTGTGATATCAGCTGTCATTGTTGGCCAGAAAATTATATCTCTTGTTTGGTGCTTGGTAGTGTAACTCTGCATGCGGTCCAGCTCTGCTTTGGCACAGTCGAATAGAACACATTGTGACAGAGATCAAAATATCCAAATATTTCTCCATCATTTTAGAGCTCTCTGTCATAGTCAGGATAGTGTCTCAAGAAGACATTCCTCAAGTAAAAGAGCATTTCTTGGGCTTTCTTGTGGCAGAGCAGTCAACAGGAGAACATTTGTCATCTCTAATCCTAAAAAGGCTAGAGGAACTTAATATCCCATTTGAGGACTGCAGAGGCCAGTCCTATGACAACGGCGCCAATATGAAGGGAAAAAATAAAGGTGTTCAGGCAAAGTTGCTTCAGCTGAACTCAAGAGCTTTTTATGTCCCATGTGGTGCCCACACTTTAAATCTGGTAGTAGCTGATGCTGCAAAAAGCTCACCAGATGCCCTTGGCTACTTTGGGCATTTGACAAAGTTATTCAAGCTCTTCTCAGCCTCCACCCATAGGTGGGATGTCCTCTTGAAATATATGAAAATCACTCTGAAATCATGGGCTGAGACCAGATGGGAAAGCAGGATAAAAAGCATTGAGGCAGTAAGGTATCAGGCTGGGCAAGTCAGAGAGGCTCTTCTGGAGGTGAGGGAAAAAACTGCAGACCCTGTGGTGAGAGTTGAAGCCCAGTCTTTGGCTGAGGAGACTGGATCCTATCGCTTTTGCATTTGTACAGCCATATGGTATGACATTCTCAGCAAGATCCAGCATGTCAGTAAACTGATGCAGTCACCCTCCATGCAGCTTGATGTGGCTGTCGACTTGCTGAAGAAAACCAGAGATTCCCTCACCAGTTACAGAAACACTGGATTTTCTGATGCACAGACAATTGCAAAGAAGATGTGTGAAGAGATGAATGTGGAGGCTGAACTCAAACAAAAGCGTTTGAGAACCACAAAAAGGCACTTTGGCTATGAGTCTCCAGATGAGCCCATACAAGATGCACTACGAAAAATGGAAACCACATTTTTTAATGTGGTCGTGGATACTGCCATCTCTTCACTTGATGAGAGATTTCAGAATCTTGGAGAGGTGAATAACACGTTTGGTGTGCTCCTCGATTTCCCCAACTTAGAAGAAGAGGACCTGCTACAGAAGTGTCAAACCCTAAGTACTGCTCTGACCCATGACAGCCAGCCGGACATTGATGGCACAGAACTTGCAAAGGAAATGAAGAATTTCCCACCATTGCCATCAAACAATATGACAAACATGGAACTTTTGACCTTCCTGTATGAGAAGAAGCTGGCAGAAATTTACCCCAACATGTGGGTTGCTTTGAGAATCTCTGCCACTCTTCCTGTTACAGTGGCTGCTGCTGAAAGAAGCTTCTCTAAGCTCAAACTGATTAAAACTTACCTGAGATCTACTATGATGCAAGAACGTCTCAGTGGACTTGCCATTATAAGCATAAACCATGTGGTCTCAAATCAGTTGTCATATGATGATGTTGTAGATGACTTTGCTGCAAGAAAAACCAGGAGAGTAAAGCTGTAGCAGGTTATGTGAGATTGAGGAAGTGATGGTGTAGTTTTTAAGTTACGGCAGTACCAAAAACACCACTAGAGGTCTTTGTAAGATCGTCTTTTTATTTTTATTTAAATCCTTGTATTTTTTGTGCCTACTCGTTTCTTTAATATCTTATTTTACACAGTGCCGTATTTAGATTGTATTTTTAAGTTAATGTCACTTGTTTACACTTTTTATTTTGGGAGTATTAATAGGTACTTTATGTAAGCTATTTACAGGCCAGGCCTGTGCTGCTGAATTAGTGCTGTTTTTACCACGAATTCACCGTTGTTCAGTAGTGGATGGTTCAGTATGTAAGTGTGTATTGAAGCATTTTTCGGGCATTGTAATGGTCTAAAGTGCTTTGTGACATGTACGAATATTCAAGTTGTCTTAAGTTAACGTAGGGAGTCAATTTCAAGTTTGGGGTGCATGCCATGCTAGTGTTCATGTAGATGTTTTACCCGCCATTTGGCGGCAATGTTTGTTTGATGTCCTTAATTTTTTGGATATTTTGACCTTTTCTGGTCACACACTTCACTAAGTCGGTGATTTCTCTTTGATGTTTCTCTCTCCTTTGCATTTCCTGATGGGCATTGAGCGCCTTCAACAGGTCATACTTCTCATCTTTGTCTTCCATTTGTTTCTCCTGCTCTTCCTTCTGAGCAGCAAGTTCGCTTCTCACTTTCTCTTTGAAGTCATTGAACTCTGCAGCTTTGGTTCTGGCCTCGTCCTCATATGTCTTTTTCAGATTCTCCATTTCTTCTAATTCTTTGAGCTTTTTGCATATTCTTTCTGAAGATTTTTAAGTCTTTGCTCGTCCTGTCATCTCTATTCATCTTCTTCTTTTTGTTTCACCCACCATTCTTTTTGTTCTTCCTCTCAGGCCTCTCACTCCAATCTCATCAACTCTCTCTGCTACTCCAGCTCCGATTCTGATTTCATTTGTTCCTCCAGAGCATAAAGTTTTTGTTCCCACATCTGTCGTTGAACTTCTTCCTCTCTTTTTCTTTTCCTCTCTTCTTCTTCTCTCACTTCCTGTTCTTTATTTCTCTGCTCACGCTCCTTCTTGATGTTTTCCTCCATTTCCTTGAGTTTTTTGTCTCTGTTTTCTCTCTTGTTCAGTTTCTTCTCTGTTTTTCCATTTTCCCTTTTATCACTTGCATTTCTTCCTCATGTTTTTGTTCTAGTTGCTTCCTGTTATTTTCCATCTCTTCCTCCTTCTCCTTCAGGATCCTCTCCACCTCCTTCTTTATCACTGCTTCAGCCTCCTGTAGCATCTCGTTGGTGTAGCAGCTGCCTCCTTTCTCCTTCACCGTGGAGTCGACCTTTTTAATCAGCTCACTGACCTGTGTATGGTTTTGTTTATCATTGTTATTAAACACATGGTATCTTCGTCCACAGTCAGAGATCAGCTTCTTCAAGGTATCATCACATTCCTTTTTAATATAATTTTTGATGGACAGTTTGTCACGTTCCAGGTCGTCTCCTCTTGTAAAAAGAACGATGGTGAACTTTTCTGAACCTTTCCCAAAGCCCTCCTTGATAAGTTTTAACGTCTCCTTCTCCTCTGCTGTGAGTCGTCCAATCTGTAACACCAACAGGAAGACATGTGGTCCTGGAGCCAGAAGACTGATGCATTTCACCAGCTCCTCATTCACCTCTTCAGGTGACAAACTAGTGTCAAACAGACCAGGAGTGTCGACCACAGCAACACAATGACCGTCCACTTCTCCCTCTGCTTTCTGGCAATGTCTGGTGACTGATTTTTGACTTAATTTGGCTTTAAACTTCTTTTTTACCAGAATGGTGTTTCCTGTAGAGCTCTTTCCATTCCCAGTTTTCCCAATCAGCACAATCCTCAGACACTCTGGGTTCTGATTCTCTTCTTCACCTGCAACATTAGTATTAGCATGACTTATTTTAAGTAGTTGCTTTGCAGTAGTTGGTTTAGGAAAAGCAGATAAAATATAAAAATTTATGACTGAAATACTCACAAATGACCACGTTTGTGGTATTTTTCAGCTCCTCAATTTGAGCCTGCTGCCTGGTGATGCATGTCTCTTGTTGTATGACTTTGTCCATCTGGGCCTGTGCAAATGTCTCTGCTGTGTAGCAGCATGGTTTGTCCTTGGACAGTGTCATCGTGTCCACAGTGTGGAGCAGCTCAGAGACCTGATGCCCGTCCTTGATGCTGAGAACAACACATCTTCCTCCACAGCTCTGACTGAGCTCCTGGATGTCTCTGCTCTTTCTGACAAAGTTAACAACAGCTGGAGCTGTAGGATCTGACTCCACAGTGAACAGGATCACGGTGAAGTCCTTGACTCGAGAGCTGAATGTGTCCCAGATGCTCTCTAATTCTCCCTTGTCTTCATCAGTGAGGGGAGCCACAGGTAGGACCAGGATGAAGGCATGGACGCCCTCAGGACCACAGAGGGAGATACACCTGAGTGATTCCTCCATCACGGCCTCCGGAGGTTTTCCATACAAGGCAGGCAGCTCCACCAGGGAAACCTGACGTCCACACACCTCTGCCTGATGTTTAACACACTGTGGGGAGTTGGAGACTGAGTGAAGCTCTGTCTGACCTAGAATGGTCTTGGCTGCTGAGGTCTTCCCTGCTCCTCTCCTCCCACACACAACCAGGTTTAAAGCTGGCTTCGGTCTCATGGTTAAACCTGGATCCTCGTCCTGAAAAAGGCCACAGCTCAGATGCTCTCCTCTGTTCTCCTTTGCAGTTTGACCCAGTCGTGTTAACAGCTCTGGACGTTCGAGCTCCTCCAGCTTCATGTGTCTGTATCTACACAGTCTGATCATTTCTTTTAGTGGAGGGTGGTTCTTGTAGTTTTCACCTGACCTCTGCTCTCTGGGTGGACACAGCAGAACCAGTGAGTGATTAAATGATCGATCAGTGAAGAGCTGAAGAACGGCACACAGTTTCTCTTTGTGTTGCTCAGTGAAGTCTTCAGGCTGTAGGACCAGCAGGAACACATGAGGTCCAGGATCAGAGTGTCTCACACAGTCATCTACATGTTTTTTAAGTTTGTACTGGGAAACACCAGGACGCAGCAGATCTGGGGTGTTGATGAGAACTATTCCTTTCTCCTCCACCCGTCCTCTGACTCTCTGACAGCAGACTGGTTCTTCCTCAGTGCTGAACCCAGTCTCTCCCAGTATGAAGTTCCCCAGTGAGCTCCTCCCAGACCAGCTGTTCCCCAGCAGGACGACCCTCAGCTCTGACACTGAAACCAAAACACTGAATTAGAAAGATGAAGCAAAAGTGAACTTGACCCAGCACAAGCCCAATCTAACAGGATTATGACGAACACTAGTGAAGAGCTGTCAGCCGGCCAGAAAGTGGACTCTAACCTCTGCCAGCATAGCATGACCACTGCAGACGTGCACCAGTAATAAATTATATAAATAACAATATTTGCATTACATTACACTCTTTTGCTGCTAACCTGATTAGGTCCCATACATACCTTTTTATTTGCTCATTGTTGTATATTGACTTATACAATTGTGTGTTATGTAAATAATGTGTCTTTTAAGCCGAGAGCTGCCGGATAAAATTTCGTTGTGCTATGCATAATGACAATAAAGATTCTTAACTTGACTAGCACAACAAAGGCAGTGCAAATTTGTTCATGGTCACTGAATGCCTGTAACTCTAACTCCAAACGACCTCACAGTGCAGATACAGGCACCTGGTGCTAGCCTGCCGCACACTGACCTACTGACATTAAAACCGTGGGAGACCACAGCCGTAATGACAGATTTAACTCATTTCAGTATCTACGTCAGAGTAGTTCAGGGTATGTATGAGAGGGGTACGACAGTAGTGAGATGTGCTGTAGGTCAGACAGAGGAGTTCAAGGTGGAGGTGGGGCTACATCAAGGATCGGCTTTGAGGCCCCTTCTTGTTTGCTATGGTGATGGACAGGTTGACAGATGAGGTCAGACAGGAATCTCTGTGGATAATGATGTTTGCGGATGACATTGTGATCTGTAGTGAGAGTAGGTGGAGGAACACATGGAAAGGTGGAGGTCTGCTCTGAGAAGAAGAGGAATGAAAGTCAGTCGTGGTAAGACTGAATACATGTGTATGAACGAGAGGGAGGGAAGTGGAACAGTGAGGTTACAGGGGCCTGAGGTCAAGAAGGTGCAGGAGTTTAAGTATTTGGGGTCAACAGTCCAGTGTGATGGGGAGTGTAGGAAAGAGGTGAAGAGGCGAGTGCAGGCGGGTTGGAGTGGGTGGAGAAAGGTGTCAGGACTGTTGTGTGACAGAAGAGTGTCAGCAAGAATCCAAGGAAAGGTGTACAAGACAGTAGTGAGACCAGCTATGCTGTATGGGTTAGAGACTGTAGCAGTGAGGAAAAGACAAGAGGCAGAGATGGAGGTAGCAGAGATGAGGATGTTGAGGTTCTCTTTAGGAGTGACCAGGATGGACAGGATTAGGAATGAGCACATCAGAGGGACAGCTCAGGTTGGCTGTTTTGGGGACAAGGTCAGAGAGGCCAGATTGAGATGGTTTGGACATGTGCAGTGGAGGGATAGTGGTTATATTGGTAGAAGGATGTTGGAGATGGAGCTGCCAGGCAAGAGGTCAAGAGGAAGGCCAAAGAGGAGATATATGGATGTGCTAAAAGAGGACATGAAGTTAATTGGTGTGAGAGTAGAGGATGCTGAGGATAGAGTTAGGTGGAAACAGATGATTCGCTGTGGCGACCCCTAACGGGAACAGCTGAGAGAGGAAGAAGAATAGAATAGAACAGAAAGCCTTAATTGTCATTGTAAACAACAATAATATTATAAGTGACTCAAATCACTTTGTGTTACTGCCTATTTAGATTTGTGTTATTGCTCATCTACTTTATATTTCACTTGTATTATGTGGCATTCATGTGGACGGCAAAGTAAGAATTTCATTGTACAGGGAAACACGTTTCCTAACTGTGCATATGATAATAAACGCTTTGACCTTTGACAATGCCAAGAGGAAACCGGTTCTTAGTCACAGCATTGAAGCATTTCAGTTGAAAGACTCAACAGCACAAACGTTTTGCAGAAGAAATTGACAGGACAGAGTCAAACAGTCAGAGGTCAGAAAGGAATTGGGTCTAGGAGCACATATGGAGGTGGACCAGATCTGGTCTGGTCTGTTCACACTGCTGTGGACACACCAGGTCTGAGTCACTGGGAGGGGAAAAACTCATATCGAGTCACATCAGCACAGACGGCCACAGTACCTGGAGAGAGCCCACAAACTCCACAAAGAAAGGCCCCGGTCAGGCATCACGTTCAAACCCACACCCTTCTCGTTGTGAGGTGTCAGTGCTATACACTGCGCCACCGTGCCAGTTATGACTCATTTCAACTCACTGTGAGGAGGCAGGAATCCAAAGCTGTGGCTGCGCTTCCAGGGTCGCACATCATCCGTCACTGTGAGGACACAACAACATACAAATGAATCAGTTACAGTGATAAAGGCAAAGTCAAGACAGTGCTGTTACCGACCTTTGCCACTAGAGGGAGCGAACTGCTGCAGGTCAGAGACGACGTACTGAACAGAGACATGTTAGCAGCTCTGTGCTTTTCATTTCTGTTCTTATTTCTCACTTTGCAGACCATTAACCTCCAACTTCTCGATTTTATTTCTATATTTAATAAGTGTCATTGCTCTGTTCTAGGAAAAGTAGGAGTTGTTTGAATTGATCTGTACTGAGACTTAGCTCCCAGCTGGACAGTAATCACTGCAGGACACCTCACGTCCCTAAAAACATCTTAACATACACACACAAACGTACTGAGGTGGACCGAGATGCTCCCATCGGTACTAGCTTGTGGTTTTATCATTCTCTGTCCTTGTTGGCACATTGCTGTGTTATCTCGGCCTGGTACCTCCACCTGTTGATCAGTGACCAGGTGTGTGCACGAGATAAGCAAAACATGCACCCCCTCACAGACAAACAGCTCCATGGCTGCTCTAGGTCCTATAATACAGTAAATAAAGACATTCTTGCTGACCCATCCATCCACCCAACTCCCGCCCCAGCAGGATGATTAACAGGTGTCATACGGGGACGTCTCTAACAGTCTCCCCATCTTATGTCTCCACCTGCAGCTCAATGCTGCAGTTTTCTAGTGGTGACGGCAGAATAACAACGTACAGTTACCTGCCTTGCTTAAAGGCGCTGAGGGCACCAGCAGCGTGCACGCTCAGTCCATTTGGACTAAATCAGCCTCTGGTTTACTTATAAAACCTTTAGAGCAGAAATCGTGTCAAAGAAACACAAAGAACTTTATTTCTTAGATGGTTGCACAATTAAAAAAGCTCCTGATGTCATGATTCTGCCCCATCCACTTCCTGCAACGCTCTTATTCTGTAACTACTTCCTGTCCCCAGCTCTCCCTGACTCCTGGGAACTTCATATCATCAATCACATTGGTTTCACCCGTTACTCAATCATTCACACCTGCTCACCACAGCATATAGCAGCTCCTCGCTCTGTGGGGAGCTGCCAGATTGTTCTATGCATCATCTAGACTCTCCAGCTCTTTTTCCCCTTCAGTGCCTGGTTATTCTGATACTGACACCCTGCCTGTTCTATCGACCCGAGATACTGCCTCATCCCTTTTGTTGGACTGCTCTCCTGGTAACAACACCTTGCATGTACTGCCGACTAAAGATTCTGCTTTGCCTTCCCTGCTGCCCTGCTGGAGACCCCGACCGTGGACCGAACTAAGCATTACTCTCTGCCTGATCCATCCAGACTATTTCTGCTCCGATCTGATTCTGTTCCAGAGAAAGACATTAAACTCTGTTCTGCTGTCCCTGCTTACTGGCTCTTTAATTGGGTTCTCTCCGCCACCTTCATGGGAGCTCCACACACACCCCTCCCTGACACCTGAACTGAACCTTTGTGTATTTGTAGAGTCAGTAGTAAATCAGCAGGTCCAACAGTAAACACCACACTGAGGGTCAAGTTTAAATGTGTGAGACTATTGATATAAAACCTGAGAGTAAGAACTTTCTCTGAGCAACTTGATTTGATCTGATAAATGGTTCAACCAAATCTGGTTCAACATAATTCAATAAACCAGACCTTTAGCCTGACTCTCCTTCTTTATGACAGTACAGATGTGGATCTTTGAAATAAACGCTGTCAGTTATTTATTGATGTCTAATTATTAATGGACAGATATTCACACTAGCCTGTACAGCTGTGATCCTCACAAAGCTTCCTAAGCCTAAAAGTTGCTCCTAGTGACGAAATTCTAAGAAAACTCTTAGAGTTATGACGTTTTTTTAGAATTTTCCCTTAAATTTAGGACTAAATCTTAGTAAAGATAAAAGTGACCACCAAACATCTTAGCCCTAAGAACAGCTCCTAAGGTAAAAATCTGTAAGAGTAGAGAGGAGGACTTTTAAGCGGCTTAAGAGTTCCTCTAGCAGCGGACAAAATGGTGGAAAGAAGAAATATTCTCGAAACAATGAATGACTGTGAGTTAATTAACCGCTACAGATTGGATCACGATGGGATTATGTTTGTGGTTGACCTTATTAGAGATGCGCTCACATCTCCCACCGCTCGTAGTAATGCCATAACGCCAGAAATCAAAGTGATTACAATTCTGAGGTATTTGACAACCGGAAAGATGCAACAGTGCAGCAGCGATGACTTGAGTCTGTCACAACCTTCCATCAGTACAGTGATCACACAAACTATTGAAGCGCTTTCACAGTCCCATGTAGTGGCACGATCTATTTCATTTCCACTGGACGTTTACACTCTGCAGACTCACAGAAGGGCATTCATGGACATAGGGGTTTTCCTGGTGTTGTTGGTGCAATTGATGGGACACACATTCGCATAGTCGCACCATCGGAAAATGAAGACGTTTTTGTGAACAGAAAGAGGAACCACAGCACCAGTTCGGTTTTAATTAACTTTAAGATATTTAGCCTATAACAGAAACTTTGCATAAAGTAGCCTGTATTCATGATCATATATATGTATTTTTAATATACAAACATTATGATTTCACTGTCCATCATATATATCCATATATCCACGTCCATATATTCTCTTTTCACAAAGACCGCATTTTTGTAAAGACCGTGACAGATTTTTTATCAACCAATCACAGTCCATGATTTGCTGCGTCATCCCTAGCAATGGGGTCAACCACACCTCCTCACTAAGATAAATGTTTTTGTACTTTCCTTGATCAGAGTTGCTCTGAGAAGTTTCCTAAATCACTTTTAGTCTAGGACTCCCAGCTCAGACTTTTTAGGATAGGAGCTCTCTGAGAGAATTCTAAGATGCTTTGTGAATACGGGCCCTAGTCTCCACTGTGGAGTTAGAAGCACATCAACATTTTACCAATACAGGCAGAAAAGCAGCAGAATCTGAGGAGTCGAGTACAAACACGAGGCTCAGTGGAAGAACAGAACCACCTACCAAGATCTAAACACTTTTAATTTTCTGGAAGGAGGAAGAATTTTAGAGCTATATATCACATCTAGAAAAGTCAGCCTTTGACCGGAGGGTCTGAAAATGTCAAGTGTCATAATTCAGCCTTGTGTCCGTTTGACAGCTGTTTCCTCTCCAAACACCTGGACACGCTGCTTTTACCTGAGGCTGCTGCTTTTCTCTTCCGTTGGCCCGACATAGTTTCTGATTTTGATTCAGCGTCTTCTCGACACACCTGAGGACGGATCGAAAGCTGGTTGTAGAATTTTTTCACTTAACAATTGAGAATGGAGGTTTTCTGAACAACTAGACAAGTGAAATTAGGAAACATAAAATGACATTTTTACCCTTTATAGTGTTTGTCTCCGCATTTTTGTAAAGACCGTGACAGATTTTTTATCAACCAATCACAGTCCATGATTTGCTGCGTCATCCCTAGCAATGGGGTCAACCACACCTCCTCACTAAGATAAATGTTTTTGTACTTTCCTTGATCAGAGTTGCTCTGAGAAGTTTCCTAAATCACTTTTAGTCTAGGACTCCCAGCTCAGACTTTTTAGGATAGGAGCTCTCTGAGAGAATTCTAAGATGCTTTGTGAATACGGGCCCTAGTCTCCACTGTGGAGTTAGAAGCACATCAACATTTTACCAATACAGGCAGAAAAGCAGCAGAATCTGAGGAGTCGAGTACAAACACGAGGCTCAGTGGAAGAACAGAACCACCTACCAAGATCTAAACACTTTTAATTTTCTGGAAGGAGGAAGAATTTTAGAGCTATATATCACATCTAGAAAAGTCAGCCTTTGACCGGAGGGTCTGAAAATGTCAAGTGTCATAATTCAGCCTTGTGTCCGTTTGACAGCTGTTTCCTCTCCAAACACCTGGACACGCTGCTTTTACCTGAGGCTGCTGCTTTTCTCTTCCGTTGGCCCGACATAGTTTCTGATTTTGATTCAGCGTCTTCTCGACACACCTGAGGACGGATCGAAAGCTGGTTGTAGAATTTTTTCACTTAACAATTGAGAATGGAGGTTTTCTGAACAACTAGACAAGTGAAATTAGGAAACATAAAATGACATTTTTACCCTTTATAGTGTTTGTCTCCTCCAGAACAGCATTATCCAGTAACACCAGGTATTTCTGATACTACTAGACCACCACAAGTACAAGTGTTTGAAGTAAAGTACTCATCTCAGTGCAAAGTGAACATTTAGAAAAGGTGTATTGCGTGAGACAGTTCAGCTGTAGGTGTTTGTTTTTCTTCATGTATCTTTGGTAAAACCTACTCACCTGAAGTTGAGACTGCTGCATTTCCAGTAAAGAGAAGCACAGGACTGTGACTGAGAGCAGAGAGGAGACGAAGGTGTGTCAGGAGCAGACATACTAGGTACTAGGTACTAAGTACTAGGTACTTTGACCCAAACCAAACGGCGGAGAAGGAAAGACACAGTCCACAGTGGTTCACAGCAGCTTAGTCAGAAGGTAGACATCATAGTAAATGTTATTTGGCAATGGGAATTTTTTATATCACACGACTGAAAACAACAACAAACTAAAACATAAACCAAACATAAAGAGGCCAAAACAGGAGCTTAAAAAGGAAACATCAAACCACGGTAACAAAAGGCCAGTGCAGCCTAAACTAATGTTAATGCACCCGTAAAACATAGTTTGAACATTTGAGTTAACCCTCGATAAAAGTCTCAACTGCAAAAAACTGGAGATAAACACAAAGTTAATTTGTTTGTCTAATTTAAAATTTGGGTAAATCCTAAATGTTTGACACAGGGTTTTACAAAGTGGGGCAGGGAGCCAGGCTCAGAGCAGGACTGGTGCCGCTGGGTTTGGAGGTAAAGTTATCAGCTGTTTTACTTTCATTTAAACTTAATAAATTTGCAGCCGTCTGGTTTTAATGTCAGGGAGATTTCTATCAGTTTACTCATAGGTCTGGTCTCTAAGTTGACGGTTTTCACTGGGAGACTTTGATTTAACATCACTGGAAACCAGTTTCCGTGGATTCTGCTGTGTTGAGTGACGTCAGAGTGTCTGTGTCTCAGTGAGGGCGGGGCTGATGACACCAGGCCGAGTTTCCCAGAGAGAGCTCCGACTTCAGCTGGAGGCGTGGACGCGCACCGAGCGCAGCATTTCTGCAAGTCTGATCATCAGAGGAGCTGATCCATGAGATACAAATACAGAAATGTCTCATAACATGAATGTGTTATTTATTTGTAGTGGTTTTCTGTCTTTAGCTTCTCAGACTTTAACCAGAACAGAGCATAGACAGTGTTTCCCCTGCTCGCCCTCTGTCCACCGCCGCGTCTCGGCCGGTCTCGGCTCCGTGTGTCCAGGAGCTCGGCGCCGCTCTCGGTCCAACACGGACAGAGGGGAAGCTGCTCCATAAACACCGAATCCATGTTTTCTGATCCACTAATCTCCTCGAGTACAGATAAAATGTTTTCGGTCCTTACAACCCGAGACACAAGGAACCCGGTCAGAGTCAGTCGCACCTTTAAGCACACGCTGATTTTTACTTCATATGCCAGCGAGATGTGGCACCACAGAGCCCTGTAATGACACGTTTTAGAAATCATGTGTAGCGGTTGAATCTTCCTCATCCTGAAGAATTACAAGGTTTTTTAAACATGATTTTAAATTAAAATGAATCAGTACAACTAACCCCCTGTTGATGAGTGAAGCCCATGTGTGATTCAACTTTTATCATTTATTTTGAAAAGGATGAACATTCAGTGATTCACTGCTGAAATGTGGGCACAAGGTCGGTAAGAGGGAAAAGGCAGAACCAGAGACCCTCCTTTAAAAGACTCGAATAAACGTGTGTGTGTGAACACAAGTTCAGCCTGTTTATAACTCACTTAACTACAACCAGCCTTAAGTTTAACCTTTACTCCTTCAGATCAGTAAATCACATTCAGTCCGGAGTCCTCGTTGTGTTGTGCTGTGTTGTGTTGTGTTGTGTTGTGTTGGGCCAGCGCGCTCTCTGCTCTCCTGTTAACAAACAGTGTTAGTTAGAGTTTATTTCGTTAACAAAGTCCTGTGCAGAAGGTGATCAGGCTGGTCATTCATTGTCTATTAGATACTTTATTGATCCCGAGGGAAATTCTGGTGTCCTGACGACCACGATCACCCAAATAAAGAAGCGCACAGACGTGTAAAACTAAAATACAAAACAAAAAGTATAACAATCAGAGTATAGGGAAACATTATACACACACATATCAAGTAACGGCACTTTATTTTGTTGTAGCTTCTGCAGCGAGTGCTGAGTCAGCATTATTCCTAAACGTGACAGTGCTCATCATTCACACATGTGCAGGTTTTTATTTTGTTCAAAGGGGAAAGACCAGCCCTCAGGACTTAAGCACAAATTAAAGTGGCATCAAACCGTGATCAGAGCCTGATTCCTTCTGTGTCAGAGTTGGACATACGGTGTCTCATTAAAATGAAATTGTTTTGCATGTGAATAAAGAAGGAAAATCTATTTTACAGTACATCTATGGATGGGGTCTGACAGAATCTGATCTTTACTGGCCAAGCACGTTTACAGGGTGCGCTTTGCAAGGCAACAAGAAATAAAACTAAACTCTGTGTTGAAACAGTGAAAATGTGCAACAACTTTCAATCAGCAGCAGAAAAAGAGACACAATCTACTTATAAATACTGTCTATGTAGACATGAGGCACTGCACCAGGGTGATGCTGTATCCTACTATATACACAGTCATGGGTTAAGTGTTGATCAGAGCCAGGGAGGAAACTGTCCCTGCGCCTGGTTGTCTTTGTGTACAGCGACCTGTAGCACCCAGAGGTGAGGATGTCAAACAGTTTGTGTCTGGGGTGTGAGGGGTCTGCAGAAACCTTCATCTTAAACTATGACATTTGCAGGAACGTACTCATCACAGTTAAAATGACCAGTTATGTTTTTAACATGGTTAGAAAACTCCAACTCCTTAAATATTATATTATATAATTTGTTAACAGTTTAGCTGTGTCTATGCCGAGTGAAATCCATTTATAACTAATAAAAGTGGGCTCAGACTGCGTAAAGGACTAGATGCTGTCAAAGCCCTTCACTGTGTGTTTGTGTTATAATGACAAGGTTAAGGAGCAGGAAGCTTCTTCAGAGGATGACACACTTGTTGTTGTATTTCTCTTTTAACTTCTCTATCTCCTGCTCTTGACTTTTCTTCAGGTTCTCCATCTCTTTCAGCTGCTTGTCTTTCTGTCCCAGTTCTTCCTTTAGCTGTGTTTCTTTGTGAATCAACAAGTTGTCCACCAGTTTACGCTGCTCCTCGGTCTCCTGCATTTCCTTCTCATGCTTTAGCATCAGGTCCTCCAGCTCCTCCTGATGCTGTTCCAGTAGACCTGCAAAGTTCATATTGTATATCTGTCTGAACCTGTTGAACTCCTCCGCTTGTTTTCTAGCCTCTTTTTCGTATCTATTGTTCATATCATCCACTCTTTTCTTGTGTTTCTTCTCTAACTCATTTCTTCCCTTTTCCAGTTGTTCTCTTCTCTGTTGGTCTTTATTTTCCCCTGTCACTTCTCTCTCTTCTTCACCTTCTGCTCTTTGTTCTGCCATTCTTTTTTCCATTTCTTTAATTTCTTCTTCATGTTGTCGCTCAAGTTTCTCCAAGTCTCTCTGTATCTCTTCTTCCTTGTCTTTCAGGATCTTCTCAACATTCCTCTTTATTGCTGCTTCAGCCTCCTGCAGCATCTCGTTGGTGTAGCAGCTGCCTCCGTTCTCCTTCACCATGGTGTCGACCTTTTTTATCAGCTCACTGACCTGTGTGCGGTTTTGTTCATCATAGTTGTTAAACACATGGTATCTTCCTCCACAGTCAGAGATCAGCTTCTTGAAGGAATCATCACATTCTTTTTCGATGTATTCTTCACCGGACTGTAGCTGGTGCTCCAGGTCGTCTCCTCTCGTGAACAGAACGATGGTGAACTGTTCTGAATTCTTCCCAAACACTTTCTGGACAAGTTTTAACGTCTCCTTCTCCTCTGCTGTGAGCCGGCAGACCTGTAGCACCAACAGGAAAACATGTGGTCCTGGAGCCAGAAGACTGATGCACCTCACCAGCTCCTCATTCACCTGTTCATGGGACATGATGGTGTCAAACAGACCAGGAGTGTCGACCACAGCCACAGGACGACCGTTCACTTCTCCCTCTGCTTTCTGGCAACATTTAGTGACTGATTTTTGACTGGATTTGGCTTCAAACTCCTTCCTTCCCAGAATGGTGTTTCCTGAGGAGCTCTTTCCACCGCCGGTCTTCCCTAGCAGCACAATCCTCAGACACTCTGGGCTCCGATTCTCATCTTCACCTGCAACATTAAAAGAATTGCAGTTATGTAAAATACTAATCAGTACTTCTACAGTACAGTCTCTAAGGTCTAGTGTAGAACAATTTCCATATATCATCCATTCCACCTATCATGTTGGGGGGGTTGACCGACATGTTTGGCCTTTTTCCATCAGCCCACTTCCTCCTGAGGAGGCGAGTGGGCACACATTTGTTTCTAACAGCAGGGGGGCAATCGTGTGGTGTCAAGGTCAGTCAGCATCTACCCGGGGCCCTGTGGGGCCGCGCTCATCCATCAACAGAGCCAGCCCATCGGGTCACGTCGCTACACTGACCAGATTGCTTTAAACCACGTTGTCGTAACAGTGACATGAGGGACGGTCCTTGAACTCAACATTTCACTCGTTGCCAGCTAGTAACAGCTCCCCGACACCGGGAGTTATGCATCCCTGCTCCTACATCGGTGCTTTCTCCACCCCCACGTAATGAAGATGCAGAAGATAAACAATGCATTTTACAGACAATGGACACAAAACTGCACTGGCTCGGGACAGATCTGCCATGCACGCAGCAGTTCAGCAG